CTATAGCCCGGCCCCAAAGCCCAGCCCTGAGCCCGGGTCTATAGCCCAGTCCTTAGCCCAGCCCTGAGCCCGGGTCTATAGCCCAGCCCTTAGCCCGGGTCTATAGCCCAGCCCTATAGCCCAACCCGACAGCCCAGGCCCAGAGCCCAGCCCCACGTCCCGCCCCGCAGCGCGGCTCCGCCCGCCCGCTCCGCTGCGCTGCGCGCCGCCATGGCGGGGCTGGAGCCGCTCTACGCGTGGGCGCGGGCCGCCGTGGGGCGCGCGCAGGACGCGCTGCTCTGCGCGCTGCACTGGGAGCTGGTGCGGCACGGCTACCGCTGCGCGGGCGCGGGCGAGCAGGTGCGCAGCGCGACGCAACGCTCAGCAGCGGCGCGGAACGGCGCGAACGGCGCCGTGCGGCCCGCAGGCCGCGCTAGGCCCCGCCGCGCACCGGCCTCGCGCAGCGCCGCTCGCCGGGACCGGGCGCCGCGGGGCGGCCCGGGCTGGGGGGGGCGGCTCCCGGTGCTGGGGAGGGTCCCGGTGCCCCAGGGGGGGTCCGGTGGGATCCCGGTGCCCCAGGGAGGGGGTCCCGGTGCTGGAGGAGGTGCAGGGGGGTCCCCTGTCTGCATCTTGTSACTCGGCAGAGGGGGGTTGTGCTGCCCCCCAAGGGGTGTTTGTGCCCTGCAAAGGGGGGTTGTGCCCCCCAGGGGTGTTAGTACCCCCTGCAAAGGGTGTTTGTGYCCTCTTAAAGGGTGTTTGTGCCCCCAAAGGGGTGTTTGCCCCCGCGCGAGGTGAGCGAGCAGACCCTGCTGCCGCGCGCCCTGCTCCTGCATCCAGACCCTGCCATCCTTGGAGGATCCCAGGATCCCTGCGCCGCTTCCCTGGCCCCGCAGCCGCCCGGGCCGGGCTCTGGGCAGCGGCTCCGTGTGCCCTGGGTGCTGCCATGCGGCTCCGTGCACTCCGGATCCCGATATGCAGCTCCGGGTCCCGAAGAGCGGCTCCAGGCGCCCCGTGTCCTGATGTGCAGCTCTGTGCACCCCGGGTCCCAACGTGCAGCTCTGTGTGCCCCGGGTCCCAGCGTGCGGCTCCATGCACCCCGGGTCCCAACGTGCACCCCGGGTCCCAACGTGCAGCTCTGTGTGCCCCSGGTCCCARCGTGCGGCTCCATGCACCCCGGGTCCCAACGTGCACCCCGGGTCCCAACGTGCAGCTCTGTGTGCCCCSGGTCCCARCGTGCGGCTCCATGCACCCCGGGTCCCAACGTGCACCCCSGGTCCCAACGTGCAGCTCTGTGTGCACCCGGTCCCAACGTGCGCCCCGGGTGCCGCCGAGCGGCTCCGTGCGCTCCATGTCCCGACGCGCGGCTCCGTGCAGCCAGGTCCCGACGAGAGGCCGTCGGAGCTGCTGCCGCGCGGCTGGCAGGCCAACCCGGAGCTCTACACGCTGCGCTACGTGTCCGCGGACGGCCGCCGCGAGCTGCTGCTCAAGGCCATCGTGGTGGAGGACAGCATGATCATCAACGTCATGGTGAGCGCCGGCGGCCCGGGGCAGCGCCGCTGTCCCCGCTGTGCCCCGGGTGCAGAGAGCCACGGGGTCCCCTTCTGAGCTGTTCTGCTCCGGCTTGTTAGACGAGCGGCAGCGCTGCACGGAACCACAGAGAGGTTGGGGTTGGAAGGGACCCCCAGGGATCACCCAGTGCAGCCCCTGCTCCAGCAGGGACACCCGGAGCACAGGGTGCCATCCAGAGGGGTTTGGGAGATCTGCAGAGCAGGAGCCTCCCCAGCCTCCCTGGGCAGCCTGGGCCAAGGCTCGGGCACCCTTYTACACCAAAGAAGTTCCTCCTCACATGGAGATGTAACTGCCTGGATTCCAACTTGTCCCCATTGCCCCTTTTTCTATCACTGGCCACCACTGGAAGAGCTTGGCCCCTTCCTCCCTCCATTCCCCCTTCATGTACTTACACATATCAATCAGATCCCCTCTCAGCCTTCTCTTCTGCAGAGAAAACAGGCCCAGCTCAGTCTCTCCTCGTTTGAGAGATGTTCCCTTCCCTTAATGCAGTGTAGGGCTTGTTCCCCGTTGAGCTGGTGGGGGCTGCATGGGGCAGAACGGGCACTGCAAAGCACTCGGTGGGGATCCCAAACCCACCCGTGCAGCAGCGCACGCATCAGCACGGGGAGGCAGCCTGTGTTGCACCCCCTGGCCCAGCAGCCACCYTTTTCAGGTCCCTTTTCCAGGTGTTGGCATTTGCTCTTGGGGATTCAGGGCGAGCGCAGTTCCCTGCGTATCCGAGACCTCGCCTGTGGTCACCCTGCTCGCTCATGCCCGGTCTGCGTGGCTGCTCACTCCGTGTTTCACCCGTCCTTTGCAGGACYGCGGCTCTCAGAAGGTGGCAGACGTGACCCTGACGGTGGCCGACTACATCAACCCAGAGCACCTGGATGATTTCCACAAGTAATCTCCATCCCCAGCGTTTCGGGCAGGACAAGATACCCCATGGGCAAGGGGCGAGGGGCCGGCGGGGACATAGGGCGCATTAGGAGGAGGCTGGAGCACCCTCTTCTCCGGTGCAAACCCGAGGGCCCTGAGAAGCAGCCACGTCTCCCTCCTGCCTCCGAGCTGGAGGCAGGAAGGAGCTTGAGGGGCAGAGCCCCACGAGCAGGGTCTGGCCAGCCCAGCACTTCTGTTCCAGCCTGGGTGGACGCCACAGGCAGCCCTGGGCACCACGTCCTGTGACATGCCCGCCCCTCTGCCCCTTCTTCCCTCTCTCTGCTCCATTTGGGAGCTGGTGGCTGCTTCCTGCCGGTGTTCACAGTGACACAGAGCTGGGTCCTAGTGGTCCCCAGTTAGTTCCTTAGGACGGTGCTGTCCCCTCCTCCCTGGAGCAGGCTGCAGGATGGACGCAGGTCTCTGCAGGCACCAGACGTCGCGGGGAAGCCAGACGCAGAGCCAGGTCCTCCACCTTCCTCAGCGGAGCAGCCTTGACTGGGCTCCCTTGGGCTGGGTGCCACTTGTGCCTCTCGAATGGGCCTTGGTGCCACCACATGCTCTTTCCCCGCCTGTCCCCTCCATGCTGGTGACGTAGCATGTTTGTGTCGGAGACATTTCGCACGTGTGCACCCTCCTGCAACCCTCCCAAAGCTGCTGCTCTGCACCCCACCTTGCAGCCGTGGGTGCTGCGGCCTCCCCAGCGCCCAGCCCATCCTCTCCCCACAGGGTGTACAAGAACATGGAGGAGCTCAGGACCAGGATCGCTTCGGGCATCATCGCGCCCCTTGCGCCCCCCACGGAAAAGGAGCCACGGGCCGAGAAGGAGCCTGCCCTCCCTCGGGAGCACGACCCGCTCAGGGTTCCTCCGCGGCGGCCAGCGGGCACCAGGGAGCCGCCCTGGTGAGCAAAGACACGGCAGCCCTTTGGGATGCATTCCGATCTCCACGACTGCTCGTGCCTGCTGGGGATCCCTGGCTCGCACATGTGGGAGGGGGGCGCATGGGAGACCCCAGCTCCGGGCTCGGCTTTGGGTCACTTCTAAGCTGCCCTTTGAGGGAAGGCCCCTTCGGGAGCCGCCTCTTGGTTGGACTCTCCTCGGGTGCTGCCGCCAGCCCAGGAGGGCCAGGGCAGAGCGCGGGGCTGGGGGAAGGTGTGGGGTGCAGCAGAGGGGCCCTGCTGGGCGCTGGGGAGCCCCTGGCAGCCCCGCGCTGCTCGGGGAGCCTCCTGGGTGCCCCAGCACCCCTGGGCCATGTGGAGCCCGCAGACGCGCTGCCCGCACTGCCCTGGCCTTCTCCCAGCTCCAGTGGCCGCTCTCGCCTCCCGGACTGAACCCCACTCGCTGCCTCTTGCGTTTCAGGCCTTCCCCCACGGACCCCTTCGCTGTTGGCGGGCAGGACCTGGATCCTTTCGGGTGAGTAGTGCTGGGGCAGCGGGGCTTGGCGTGCGTGGGGAGAGTGTCCCCGCTGTGCCCCTGCTGCCTGGGAACCTCCTCTGCAACAGCGGCGGTGTGGCCGGGTCGGGCGGCCCGGCCAGCGCCTCCCGCTGCAGCCTCTAAGGAGGCTCGTGGCTAAAATTGCGAGGGACCAACTGACAGTTGCTAAACCTCAATATGGTTCTAATATCGTAATAAGATCCTGTCTCTTGCAGAGACGATAGGTTGCAATCTGCGTCTGCTTAATAATCAGCTTGCATTCATTTGGAGCGCAGTAATTCCTTCAGTCAGTCGAAGCTGAATACGTCGTTAAGCGAGTGTAAGCCCYTAACACAAACCGTTGCCAGCTGCTGTGTGTGCAGCCCACGGGGCTCTGCAGAAGGGGAGGCTGAACGTGAGCCCCAGCGTCTCGATGGGCTGCGAAGCTGCGGGCTGCCTGGGGCGCCTGCGAGCAGGGGGAGCGGGGCAGGGACGGGGCTCCTTGCAGGGGGGTCCCACACGCATCTCCCTGCGGGCCTGTGGGTTGCTTGGGGAAGAAGAACCTGTCATCTGCATTCCTGTTAAGAGCACGTAGCCAGACAAAAACCAGCCCTCGGAGTCATTGCAGAGCGTCCCGCGGCCCATGGGAGTCCTGCTCGGAACCGCCGTCCTGTGGGGATTGCATTTTTTCCCTCTTGCGAGATAGTTCTCCGAGGGTTTGGCTAGAGAAGGGCCAGCTAAAAATGTGCTGCCCTGCTGGAGCAAGAGGCCTGGAGCCTGGGTGGCTGGAAGGAAACCTGATAGCGCCGGGAGAGGGGGTTCAGCTGGGGGGAACCCTGTTTCTCCCACTGCCTCCAGCCCTGCAGCACAAGTTTCTCTGTAAAGGACAGGGGAAGGTTGTAAATGGAAGCAGATTTGAGCGGCGACACCTGCCAGGGCCGGGGCTGGGGATGCAGCCTCCAGGCCAGCCTGGCCTAATGGAACTCATTAGCAGCGCTGCTAATGACTCGCGTGGTGGTAGCGGTGCGCAGAGACTGCAGCCGCGTTTGCACAAAGCCCCCCGTGAAGAAGGGCGCTGGCGGCGCGGGGCCGCTCCGAGGAGCCGCCGCGGCACCAAATGAGCTGCGGGCAGTTCTGTGGGCGGGCAGCGGGCAGCTCYGCGGGCGCTTGCGACACGGAGCAGGGTGTGACGCTGGCCGGGGACGCCTGCAAGCTCCCCGCGGGGGCAACGCGCCCGGCCCCTCCGGGACGGTGTCGGCGTGTTCCCGGCTGGACCTCGGYGTTTGCCGGCGCGGCGTGCCCTCCGAGGCTGCGTCCCCTGCGTGGTGTGATGCTGGGCACAGTGCCGAGCCACGATTGAGGTGGCTGGAGTTTATCTGGAGGCTGTGTCCAGTTCTGGGCTCCCCAGTACRGGAGGGATGTGGAGCTGCTGGGGAGAGTCCAGCGCACAGGGTACGAGGGTGATCGGGGCCCTGCAGCATCTGCCCTGTGAGCAAAGGCTGGGAGAGCTGGGCCTGTTGGCTGAGGAAGAGGAGGCTGAAGGGGGGACCTGAGCAGTGCGTATAAATACCTCAAGGGAGGCAGTGAGGAGGATGCGGCAGCCTCTTTGCAGTGGTGGCCACTGACAGAACTAGAGGGAACGGCCACAGACTGAAGCACTAGAAATTCCACAGGAACTTAAGGACAAATTTCTTGACAGTGAGGGTGACGGAGCCCTGGAACAGGCTGCCCACAGAGGCTGTGGAGTCTCCTTCCCTGGAGATCTTCCAAACCCGTGTGGACACAGCCTGTGTCCCRTGCTCTGGGTGTCCCTGTGTGTGCAGGGCGTTGAACTAGATGATCTCTGGAGGTCTCTCTGTGATCCCGTGACGTCCTGCCTGTGTCTGTCTGTGGTGGGCGGGTGTGGGGCTGTGATGACCCCCGCACGGAGCGGGGTCTGGCACCCTGGGGCGGCTCCTGCACGGGCAGGGAGCCGCTCTGGCGCGGGGCGGCGCGTGGCTGCGGTGCCCACAGTGCCGGCCTGACTCCCGTCTCTTCTCCGCAGCGCTCGGGGCGGAGGGATGATCGCCGACCCGCTGCGCTCGGGCTTCCCGCGGCCTGGCCTCGACCCGTCCTCGGGCCTCCCAAGCCGGCTGCCCCCCGGAGCGGTTCCGCCGGGCGCCAGATTCGACCCCTTCGGTCCCTTAGGAGCCAACACGGCTGGGTAGGTATTTGGGCAGGCCCCCRGCTGGGGGAGCAGCCTGTTCGACACAGCCTGCCCCTGAATCTCCCACCTCGGCCCTGAAGGGCTGAGCTCTCTGTCCTGCGTTAACTTGCCTCTGACTCCCTTTGCAGGCCGAACCCRGACCACCTTCCCCCTCCGGGCTATGAGGACATGTTCATGTGAGGACTCTGGTTTCTCAGCCGGCTCCCGTGAGGMGAGTTCCCTGAGGAGCACAAGTACTTCCATGCCGTTGCTCGCCTGTTCAATCTTCGCAGTTTTTCCTCTCCCCGCCCGGGGTGACCCRTGTTTCTGAGCAGCTATAAAGGCTTCTGTATGTGTTGAGCAGGAGAGGAGACAGGAGGTTTATCTTGTTTGTGTTCGAGCTGCCGTTCTGCACCAAAGTCACCCGGGATGTGAGGAGGTTTCCTCCTCGGCCGCTCCGGGGAGGCCGCTTTGCTGCTGGGTTTACGCTGGGTTAGGCCAGCAGTCGTGACTGAGGATGGAGATGGGCTCCCCTGCCAGAGGGGGCTCCGCACGTGGGAATTGGTAGTCCGGGTGTTTTCCAGGCTCCAGTGCAGAGGGGCTGGGCGAGGGCGGGAGCCTCCCGGGCAGCTGGAGGGAAGCGGGAAGCTCTGCACAGCCCTAAGCTCTCCTTGACGCCCTCCCTTCCGCGGGGCTCCCCCTGCATCGGTGAGTTTGGGGCTGCGGCTCGTTTCTTGTCCGGGCCTGATGCTGTTTTGTCTTCTCGGGTTTGGTTTCTTGGAAAGATACTGAGGAGTTTGGAATAAAATCCCGGTGAAACTCTGTGTTGGTGCTCGGCGGGCGTCCCCGCGTGCTCCGCGGCGGCAGCCCCTCCTCACCGCCTGCCGGAGCGGCGCCCTGAGGGTGCCCTTGGCCCCGGCAACGCTCCCGCTGCCCCGGCTGCTCCCGCGGCGCCGGTGCGGAGCATTCGTAACGGGCTGCAGCGCTCCCCAAGGACAACGCGGCCGTATCCAGAARAGGGAGCGGGAAGGGCCCGGCGTTGCAGTAATTGGCTCTCCGGGGTGCTAAGCGCTGGCGTGGGGCTGCACGCAGCGGCACCGACATAAATACAAATGGGGAGCGAGGGGAGGCGCCGGCGCGTGGCGCGGCAGCGGGCCCGGGAACCCTGGCCTGACGGGGGGATGAGCGCGAGGCGGTGCCACCGGGCCCTGGCAAACACCGCGTGTGCGCCGAGCCGGGCGGGCGGCASCGGGCCCGGCTGGAGCAGGTGGCAGAGGAGGCGCCTGGCGAGAGCACGAGGGACCCACATTGCCGAGGGGCGCGGGGATGTTCCGGAGGACGTGGGGATGCTCTGGGGGGCACAGCGATGCTCCAAGGGATATAGGGACACTGGGGGACACAGGGATGCTCTCAGGGATGCAGGGATCCTCCAGGGGATACGAGGATGCTCTGCAGAACACCAGGATGCTCTGCAGCACAYAGGGATGCTCCAGGGGACATGGGGATGCTCCCAGCCTTTGGCCTCCCAGGGGCTCCGTGCCTGCTCCCGGAGAAGGGCAGGATGCCAGCAGCTAAAGCACGCACCTGGAAGCACCAAGGTGCCGAGGAGCAAGTTAAGCCCCGCACTGGGCCACACTCCATCCTGGGGTGCTGCTGGGACCGGACTCACGGTCCCTTCACACYCTGTCCCACCACATCGCGGCCCATCTCCACTCCCCATCGCTCCAGGGCAGCAGCGATGTCCGCTGCCCGCGCTCGCCCCGCAGCAACCGCCCCCCGAGCTCGGAGAGTTCAGCAGCTCCGGGGAAGGTGACAACAACCAAGAATCRTTTATTCTTCAAAGTAACCAAGGCCCCTGCGAGAGCCTCCAACGTGTGTGTGATGGGCGCTGCCAAAGGCTCCATCCCAGCACATCCAGGAGCCTTGAGCCCCGCACCGCGTGGCCAATGTGCTCCATTAAATATTCATATTCCAACTGGGAAGTTTCTTCTATCCTTCCCCATTCCCCAGGCCCATCTTAGGAGACACTCAAGGGATTTTCCACCCTCCGGAGAAGTTGACTTCTGGGGCACAGCGCCCACCAGAGCCATGACCCCAGGGATGCTCTAGGACACAGGGATGCTCCAGGACACAGGGATGCTCCAGGACACAGGGATGCTCAGGGGCTGTGGGCAGGAGGTGCTTGGTGGCCCGAGGGGATTGTTGACAGGCACAAGAAGCCCCTTGAGGACAGGGAGGGATGTGCTGGAGGCACTGAAATAAATGGGATAAATAAATAATGGGAGCTGGGCAGTCACGGTGCTACAGAAATGACTTGCCTCTTGTCGGCTGTCTAGAGAAATTCACTCCCGCCTGGAAACCTCCGGAGCAGGTTTAATCCTGGATTGGATTACAAGCCTCACGGCAGAGGCCACCTTTGGCTGCTCCTCATTTCCTTAGCAGTGACTATATCCCTTCCTGGGCATCCTGCTCCTCCTGCTTTTTATTTCCGCAGAACAACATGGGCAGTGATGATGCTTCACATTTAATCCCCGCGATGCAGTTTCACCTTCACGCTGCTGCCAAGGACGGTTGCGGTCAGCACAGACTCGTGCTTGGGCACCCCAAAGGGCAGAGCTGCTTATTCAAAAGGAGAAAAGGAAGAACAATAATTTAAAAAAAGAAAACCCCCAGTCTTTCAAAGCTTGTGAATTATTCGCTCCACAGCACCGTAGCACCGAGGGGACTGAGGAGGGTGKTTGGGGGCTGTGGTGGCAGCCGCAGTGCGGGAGCGTGTCCGGGCTCCGTCCTGCTCGGAGCAGGGCCGGGCTGCGGGAGGTCCGTCCCCGCGCTCCACTGCGAGCTGGCAAAGCACCAATTCTACGGCACACTGTTTTACAAGAAACTATTGCTTAAAAAGAAAGGTCACTGGCAGCAGAAAATTAAGACCTATATCCCAAAATGGAGCTACCAGCCACGTGCGGCTTCTTGGTGGCGAGAAGCTGGGCCTGTGCTCCCCATCCGGGGACGTGCGGGGCCTCAGCCCTGGCAGGCGGCAACTGTCCGTGGCACAGAAATCCTGCCTGGAAGAGGACGTCGCTCGGCTGCTGGTGGGTCRGACTGGTGTCCAGGAGAGGATGCGCGGGGGCTCCACAGGCTGTGTTGTCCCACTGTGTGCATGGGCAGGTCCCCGTTGCGAGAGCATGACAGGGTATCCAAACACTGCATTGCTGTGGTGCACACGGAGCGGGAACCCGTCCGGAAGGAGCCAAGGCYGAGCAGGGTGTCCGAAGGCCGCGCTGCTCCGGTGCGCACGGACACGGCGCGGACTCGGCCAGGGTGCAGGGCTAGGAGCCCTGTCCGTCGGGGGCCGGCGCAGGGGGCCCGAGCTGGCTCTCGAGCAGGGCCTGGTCGCCCTCGGAGAGGCGCCGCAGCCGCAGGCGCACGGAGCC